AAATTCGCTATGTTGGTCTGTCTATCTCATCCCATCCCATCTTATCCCGACCACGGATCAATTCCGACACCATATCTATCTGTTTAAAAATGCGATTCTTCTCCCAGCTGCGATCCTGGTAGTCATCTCGTGCCAAGCCGAGCCCGTCAGAAAAGCTATCCATCCCTGTAGGGCTCTCTTCTACCGCGATGATTGCCTTTTACTCTCCTCCGCCTAAGCATATACTAAGAGATCTAAAACAATACGTATCCGTCTAGTTAAAGTTTAATAGATCTGTGCTAAAACGGTGGTGCGGACCCCTCCCTAATATCAGCATTAGCGGATTAGAAGGCAGTTACACTGCCCTAATCGACTACACGGACGCGCTCGCAGTGTACAAAGTAAGCATAGAGTTAATACGTTACGTTAAGGGACCAAGTAAGGAGACTCGCGAGTAGCTAGAGGCTAATATAACGCGTATTAAAAGCGCCATTACTGCACCGAATCCTACGAGGGAGCAAAGGAGGTTTAGGGAACAGTTTTAGAGCAAGGAGAGCTTAGCATAGATAGGGGCGACGCTCTACTTCATTCGGAGGCATCTAAGAGCGGTTGGGAGGGATGAGTCGGAGGAAGTCGCATGATGTGTCGTAGGGGGTGGATCAGGCGTGTCGCTCGTGTCGACGCTGCGTGACGGTATCGATGGGTTGCGGGCGTGACGGTGTCGATTGGTGGAGCGGAGGATGGGTGCGCGGTAGTTGCTGCTTACTAGTTGTAATCAATCTCAGAATTCTTTTCTCTCAGAAACTCCACTCAGAAAGGCCGGAGCCAAGAGCATCATCCCTATAAAGCTTGAGCAAATGGCAACAGCCAGGAAAGCAAAGATTTGTTCACGCACGTACTGATTACAACAGATAGTGGAGCGGTGTTATATTTCCGGCCGATGAGTACGTTGATCATGGCAGCTTCGAATCCTTTGAGTGCAAACATGCTCTCAGCAAGCCACCAGTTCACTGCGATTGAAGGGAACCGGGAGCCAACATATTTGACAATTGCAGCGCATTGCTGGATCTCTGAGGGGAGAGTTGTTTGCAAAGGATTTTGGGTTATCCCTTGGTGTAGTCAACGCAAGGACTCATCACGTATTGAGTAGGTATCGATTGTGGCCATATCGTGAATATATTGAGCCGTTGGGAATATGGTTCAGGGACTCCAAACCAGGGTAGCAGTGTCGATTATCAGGAGGGCTTGGCGAAAAGCGCCGAATAACCCAAAACATTGGTTGCATATTAATGAGTACTGTTCTGGCCAGTGAGCATCAGACCGAGCTCTGAAGCTGACGGTACTCGCTCGGCCCGAGCCGGGAGTCTGCGGAAGTTCACACAGAGCAACACTATTCAGGAAGCATTATACCATGGCATCACCGACGGGGATGCCATACTGCACGACTCAAGGAATATTTATTGTCAATACAATGGATCACAATACCAAATAAGCTAAGTCAGCCACACAATCTCCTTCCCGGCATTTGAATACCAGTATGGCCGTACTACAGCAATTGGTAAGCGAAGCCTCAAGAAGAGCCTCACCTAATCTTGGGCTTTTGATCTTTTTTTTTGGTCATCTTATATCGCTTTTTGAAGATAGCATCTAGGCCTAGAGACTACCCACCAGGTGCGTTCCAATCACACCCCAAACGCGAAATGTGTTGACCGCAAAGGCCCACCAACACTTCCGCTCATTGGCAACTTGCACCAAATTCCAAACAACAACATTCACTTACAATATCAGAAATGGGCAAAACAATGTAAGAAACCCAGCCGTCGTACGTTAATACAATACAGCTGATGTCTTCACTTGGTAGATGGGCCAATATTCTCCTTGAAATTAGGACAGTCAACGACTATCGTTCTGGCCGATGGCCAGGTAATTCATGATCTTGTTGACCTACGAGGATCCAACTACGCAGACAGACCTAAGCTATGGGTTCGCGAATTGTTTGATGAATCTAGGATCATCATGCGGGGTTATGATGATCTATGGCGCATAGAACGCAAACTCTACCACATGAACCTCAGCCTGACTGTCGCAAGGAAATACCTTCCTTACCAAGAATTGAAAACACTCCAGTTGCTGACCCAGATAGAAGATGACCCGGAAACCTTTGTTCTCCATGTGGGCCGAATGACGGGAAGCATGGCTACAAGTATCGCATATGGGTTTCGTTTGCCCAACACGACGGATCTTTTAACCCACGAGATGCTAGAAAACTCACCTGGGTTCTTTCAGTGTGTCGTCAAGTCCCAGATCCTGGACTGGTATCCTTCATTGAAGCCGTTCGTGAACCTAATACCTCGCGTAATGAATCCATGGGCGAAAGAAGCTTTAGCTACATACGAGGACGAGAAAAGGGTGGTTGAGAGAGCATATGAAAGAGGCATTCAGGGCCGACTTCCATGTTTTGCCACCGACATAGAGGCTTCAAAATCAAAATCGAGAATCTTGACTGACCATGCGGCTGTCTACATTGCAGGCATAGCATTTGAAGAAGGGGCGGATACTACTCGGCACACTCTTCAGGGGCTTTTCAAAGCTATGGCTTTGTTTCCAGAGACCCAGAAAACAGCTCAAGTTGAGCTTGATAAGGTAGTTGGGCCCTCAACGTTACCATCTGGTGACCATCTCACATCTCTGAAATATATCCGTTGCACAGCCAAGGAACTTGTGAGGTGGATGCCTAATGCAATCAATGGAGCTATACTGCATGCAGCTGTCGCAGAAGACAAATACTGTGGTTATCGTATCCCTTCTGGAGCCGCGGTTGTACTCGCTGTCTGGTCAGCGAGTCATGATTCTCAGGACTTTGATGACCCCAGGACCTTCCGCCCAGAAAGACAGGATCCAGAGACGAGCTTACTCGAGGCTTCGAATGCCCCCTCGCCCAAGAGTCGGGGGTTCTATGGATTTGGTTCTGGTCGCCGCATTTGCCCAGGGATGCATGTCGCGGAAAACACACTCCTGCTCGCGATAGCACGTATCCTGTGGACATTCGATATCAGCAAAGCGAAAGATAGTAGTGGTAACGTGATTGAGACTGATCGAGATGCTATGGTAGGAGGACTAGCAGCTAAGCCAGCGCCTTTCAAGTAAGAGTCCATTATAGCTTTTGAGCTACATTGTATAATTTCGTGTGGCTTACCTCTGCTACAGGGGCAAGATTGTGCCACGTAGTGCTGAACGTATGGCTATAATCGATAAAGAGTGGGAAAACCTAGCAGCGGATTGTCTAGATGCAGATGGAAATTACAAGCAAAGTATGTTTAACAAGCTCTGAAGTTTTGCAGATGACAGTGCGGATGAATCTGATTGTCCTACAATCTAATGCTGTGCTTGGCCTCTCGGGCCATCGTACTAGCCATCAAGCATACAAGAGATTATCATGAAAATCGGATCTCTTGACCATTAACCCAATTACCGTGCAATCCAGCCCTCAAACGAAGAGGTAGATAGATAATAGCTTGTGCCTTTCCAAACTGTTTGGTACTTACAATATGTAACTCGCTCGACATAGTAGAGTAATTGTTCACTAGTGCCACAATCCAGCCATCGCCCTCACCTGCGCCATGCCGCGCAATGAAAACAGGTTCTTGAACGAGGTGAGTCTTGCCAGGGAAGTATTTTTCCATGCGCATTGTATTGTAGTCAAGATACCCAATAGAATTATACGGTGGGTAGCCCCCTCCCATTACCGGCGCGATCGCTGCGAAATCGGTTCCCAGGCTTGGATCCATAATATCCATGAAAGCATGGCCATGCATCTTACCAAGAAAGCGATCATCGATACGTGGAAACTCACAATCCTCGTGAACAATGACCAAAGGTCTCGGCAGATCAAGGTCCGTGGACTTTGGATCAAACGTGAAGCGAACGAGTTCTGTGGCAATCTGCTCGGGCCGAGGCGCGTTTCCACTAGCATCGGGCCACCAGAAAAAGACATTTTTGTTGGTCAGAGGAAGGTCAAAAACGATATTTCCCGAATCGTCCTCATATGCGTTGACAGTATGTCCGGGGAAGGCGTTTGGAGCGCGAAACCATTTCACATCAGATCCCAACGCGCCATAGCGAGGTAAGACGCCCAGATAGAATGGGATATTTGGATCCCATTGCCAATGTTCGCCCCCTTGCTTCATGCGTTCAAGCTCACAGGTCTGCGGAATGATTGGAAATAATACCTTCATTGTGTCAGCACTTCAGAATCTCAGCAGAAGGGGATGGATCAGACCCAGTTCTTCGTAAACGCAAAGTCGTGAATCATAGCAACTACTGGAGCAACAAGCCATACAGTTTGGGTAAAATCGCCCCGGGCATCTATCGTGAAATAGCAGACGTCTGGAGTGCCGTCGCCCTTCGCTTCGTAACCAAAGCATATTAGCTCGTCAGTCTCGTCATCGAGTTTTGGATGTGCAGTGAAGGTTACGCAAGGCAACTGCCCGTCGAATGATTCCAAACCAATAGTTTCGAGCGTCACTGGGTCTAGTGAATATGGAGGAGAATCTTCTTTGCATGCCAAGAGACGGCCATTGAAGAAGATAACGTTAGTATTTGCAGTACTTCGTACTTTGAATTCAACCGCATCAGTGTACTTGTTGCGATACCTCCCTGGAATACGAAAAAAAGTTAGAAGTTCCGGTCAAAGTTGAAAAAAGAGGGTGCTCACCAATTAGGGAACGTCGAGCCTCCCGTTCTCTGGCAAACTTTTCCGTCACTACGTATCTTTGCTTGAAATGGCAACGTCCATCTTTAATCCGAAAAGCGCTGATGTTGCCATCTCCATTGAACCACTGTACTGAATGCATTAGTGGCGGTGCAGCAACCGAACAGACGACAACGACTTTTGCTTACCGGATCATTCTCGACGAAGGGCGGGAATTGCGGGTCTGGCATGACCCGATAGAATGTTCCATCTATCTCGGAAGGTATTTCGCCCCATACCTCGAGATCCTGGATCTCCCCTTCGAATCTACATGGCTTCATGAACCCTGAAAACTGGGGCTGCTCAGGGAACATATTGCTAACTCCACTTGCTCGAAATTGATCTAACATTGCTGGTCGAGGTTGGATTTGCATACGCGAAGAAAGACGCGAGTAGTTCAGATTCTGCTCCACAACATATATGCAGCGGTGTCTCTGATTAAATGTGTCCGGGCCCCGAACCAAGTGCCGGTCCAGCCGCTGACCCAGGCGTGTTCATGTGGCAACCCGACGGTTATAACTCCCCGGCACTCCCGGCCCACCAGTGGCTAATTTGTTAGATTGAAAATCATTACGAGAAACCGAACTCCGATACCGGAAGCCCTGACGGCGTGTCAATGCTACTGAAATTGAAGCTTCGAGTATGGAATGCTTTGACTATTCGAAAGACACAATTGCATATTCAATAAGGTATTTAGTTCAATAACTACGAAATGGAATATGTTTGACTTGGGTCTTTCATTTACGGGTAAATTGCAGCATACAATCTACACAAGCCTGGACTATGTTTTATTCAACATCCTGCTAGGCAACTCTGGTTTTCATATTCTCTGGCTAAATTCAGCCGTTGATGTTACCGTGGTTGTGCTCCCCTCTCCACTTTGCCCCAAAGAAATAGAACGGAATCGCCATCAGTGTACCTACTAAAACCAACATAAACATGACCATGTAGACCTGCACCCATCCTTGCGCAGCAATCCAGTCAGTGGCGGTGAACAAAAATAGGAAGGCGACCAGGTTCTTGAAAATATTGATCGTCACCAGGCTTTCAGTAGCAAACTTGTGGTGGCTTTCTACCACATAGGTGATCACGATGTTTGGGGCATAAACAGTACCAAACGATACTGTTGTCGCGTCAGAACTAGCTCACCGGGTACAAGAGAATGACATACCCATTCCGAAGCCGAAAGCGATAGCAACCCAGTGCAGCTTTTCCGAGCATGCGAAAGCTATCAGAATGCACCCAGCTGGTGCAATGAACCCGCCAGGAATAAGGGACATAAGGCGCTGCTCTGAATACACAGCTCCATCCTGCCGCCTGATCACAGCTGCGGTGATTAGGTCAGCAACATATCCACCCATGAAGCAGCCCACTAAGAAGCCGATGATTGCGGAAATTTCCATTAGACCTACTCCAATGGGCGAGAACATGTACGGTGGAGATTGGAGCAGACTTGGAAAAGCGAAACTAGATTATCATTAGGACATGAGTATAGGTGTCGGCTTTGGATGACAACGTACATGAGGATAATCTGAGCCGCAAGAGAGGTTCCATATACAAATATGGCAAACAGAATGCTAGGGCTGACTATCATCTTCAGAGGGCGAAGGAATATCTCGAGTAGTCCTGTGTCGTGATTGATTGTGACGATACTGGTCCATATGCTCAGCCATGGCTTGTGGACAATCTTGATGTAGTGTCGATTGATGGTTTCCGTTCTGACAGTAGTTACTTTCTCTGCTTCCGGATCTCCTCTAGGATGAGAATTTGATCGAATAGTATGAGGAGGTACATCCGATCTGACGAAGTTGGATTCGGGGTAGAGAAGGTATATGGCCACCAAATTAGCACCAGCCAAGGCTGCACAAACCCACATGTAGTCAACCCAGTTGCCAGGGCTATACTGCACTATGAATGCAGCAATCAGCGGACCTATAGCTGTCGCGATAGATACAAGAATTGTGTAACTATCAATAATACTATTTAGTATGAAAGCACATGGAGTACGGAGTGGTGGCCTAGCTTACCCAGACATCATGGCAGCGCGCTCATGAAGAAAAAAAATGTCTGAGACTATACCAGGGACGATGCTCTATCTGATAATGAGTGTTCAGAGTTTCCACACGAGAGGGCGCCTATTTACCTCACCTGCGGCAGCGGCGAAGCCAGAAAAGCATCTTGCAGCCAACAGTCCGGTGTAAGTTGTCGTCTTGGCTGTTGCAATGAGAACAACAAAGAGCATGAATGTCGCAAGGAGTAGCGAGGCTCGTTTACCATACTTCACACCTAGCGGCACCCAGACAAGGTTGCCAATGCCTAGAAGGAGGAAGTTGTACTGTTTGATGCGTAAGCATGCCTACACGACGACAACTATGTGCTCAGTTCAATCCACTAACAGTAAGAAGGCTATTGATTTGATTAGGTGACTTTTGAAATTGTGCTTGGAGTACTGGTGTCGCGACAGAGAGACCGGAGCTTGCGAAGTTTCCTGTGAAATTGAAGAAAGCTGTAGCAGTAAACGCCGCTAGTTTCAACTTGCGTGGCCATCGCAACGGATCTCTATCGTCGTCACTTGGTTGTGGCAAGAGAGGCAGCCCATGGTGGTGGGCGACAACGGTCTGAACAATCTCATCTTTGATGAGCTGCGAAGAGGCCATGACGGATGGCTGGTCATATGCAAAAGATGATAATGAAGATTCAAGTAGCTTGTCAAGAGAAAATTGTTACTTTTGTTAGTGGGGAGTTGCAGCACCTCGAAGTAGGCTTTGCATGAAGTTGCAGAACCTGGGGTATTCTATCACTTTCTATATCCCCAAATATGCGGGGTAGTGGTAGCATACGTAAAGTCTATAAATAGGAAGATGGAGCACTGGGGAGTTAAGAGTGCAATACACACTAAGTCAGCCAGGTTTGGTCCTCTTGTTGGTAATGATAGGGCTGTTCAGCATCTTCGATGATATTGAACTTACACCGATACGTTCGGCGACGCGCGTATTGAAAAAAGGGCTGTAAATAGATCAAGAATCAGTATAAATTCCCCTACGGCCCGTATATGCGCTTTCTTAAACCGCTACGGCTCACCGGAAAAGGATAACTGCCGATGGTAGATTTATCTCCCCGGATACGGCGGAGTTAGTGATCAAGCTTATTCTGCCATCTTAACCCTAGTCTTATACCTCTTCTATGTTTTTCAATACGTTAACTGGAATACATATGCGAGTCTGGAACCAAGTAACCATCAATCTCGCCTCTTTTCGTGTTCAAAGGTTCCATTTTCAACAGAACAGCAGAACATCTGACAATATTACACAATACGTCCGTCGCGACTATGGATACATCAAAAGTGAACGGTGTAAGCTCTAATAATAGTTCACACCACTTACATGCGTGTATCAAAGATAGGAAGACTGCGAGCAGCCACTGCACGGTAAATCTGCCGACAACCTACCCGTCCCAAGCTCTTCGGTTTCTCAAGAGAGTGGGCACCGAACACTCAGCTTCTGACGAAATCAATAATACTCGGCCATCGTCCCAGCAAGCCCAAGTCAAGTTAAATATCGTAATTGTGGGTGCAGGGCTGTGTGGACTGTCACTTGCCGTTGCTCTCAGCAGACGAGGACATTCAGTGCGGCTACTGGAGCAGGCTTCCCAACTCGGTGAGGTTAGAAAACATGTTTGTTTCTTATAAGTCCACGCCTGCTCACGCCCTTATAGGTTGGTGCAGGCATTCAGATTCCTCCAAATTCCGGACGACTCCTCCAGCGCTGGAATGTACTTCAGCACCTGCACAAGGACGCAGTCCAACCTGAGGGCATATATTTCCGTCGGTGGGAGACCGGCAACACAATTGGATACACAGCTCTAGGGCAGACTTTCCAAGACGATTTCGACGTGCCGTACTATGTGCTTCATCGCGCGCATTTCCATGAGGCACTGTACCAGCGGGCGTTGGAACTCGGTGTGTCGGTGAAACTCGGGTGCAGAGTCAAAGAGTACGAAGATAGCAAGGGCTCAGTAGTGCTAGAGAGCGGCCAAAGAATTCATGGAGATCTCATCATAGCCGCGGACGGTAGGTTAATATCACTCTTGCCATTGATCTAACCCAGCATAAGCTGAATGTGCTAATGCTGCTTGGACAGGAATCAACTCAGCGGCACGGGCAACACTATTTCCTGATACCAATAATGAGCCAGATTTTCACGGCTTTGCAGCCTACAGAGCTACAGTCCCTATCGCAAGAATGAAAGAGGACCCAGACATCGCTTCGATGTTAGACAAGCCAGCTCTGAACATCTGGTACGTAAACCTCATGGCAATAAACGTTCATCGGCCCCTGGATGATCTTTGAGCAAAGAGTTCAACTTTCTAACACACGGGTAATAGGATTGGCGAAGACCGACATGTCATGACCTATGCGATTGCGGGCGGAGAGTCATTTAACATGGTCTTGTCTCATATTGACCATTCCAATCCAGCGAGTTGGGCAAAAAGGTTTCTCAAAGAAGATGTCCAGAAGGAATTCAAAGGATGGGATCCGAGGTAAGTGCACTATGGAGAAATGTGACTGTCCTAGATTCTCACGGTAGTAATTAGGCTCACAAAGATCATCTCTCTTATCGATGAATGCCTCAAATGGCCTCTAAAAGTTGGCCGCTCACTCCAAACGTGGACTTCACCTTCATCTCGGCTTATCATTGTAGGCGACGCTGCCCATGCTATGTTGCCCTACATGTCGCAAGGGGCCGCGATGGCTGTGGAGGACGGGGCCGCGCTCGCCGTCGTTCTTAACAAAATTACATCGCTCGAAGAACTCCCTTTTGCCCTCCGATTGTTTGAAAAAGAGCGGATGAAGCGGTGTGGAGACATGCAAAACGCTAGTACAGTGAATGGGTATATTTGGCACTTCCCTGATGGCCCAGAGCAAGTGGCAAGAGATTCTGCAATGTCTGCCGAGGTATTAGGTCTTCCATTTACCAGTAGCGCTAATCAGTGGAGTGATCCGGTAACCCAATGGTGGGCGTATGGATACGACGCCGAGAGTGTCATGGAAGAAGCATGGAACAAATCTGTTCGAGAATTGATTGCACGTGCAGCCAAACATGAGTGAACAAGTCATTCTGCTCGTCAATTTGTTGATTACGAGGATAGTCTCAAGACATGAATAAAATTATAGACAAATTCCTTTCCGTTCTTACGTATTATAGATGATTTTGATACCTAGCGAGGAAATCTATTCACATTTGCCCTCTTCAAATAGGAAATTGGGGCATGGACGTTCAGCTCAAAGACTCAATTAGGTACATCAATGTGCAATGCCGTGATTTAGAAAAAAATCGAATAGCGCTTATAGACGATAACCATCCCTTTCCCGCGGTGCATGCGGGTCATGAACAAGATTCAAGAACATGCCGGGAGTTTGATACGTCTGGTAACCCGTAATCGATGAGATTCCAACCAGAAGTCCAGTGGTCTATCAGCGGCCTACTGATTGATACTAAGAATTTGAGAAGAGCTCCTTAGCCGTATATCTGCATATGATGTCATCGATAAGTCTACAAAACAGGCACTTGGTCCAGTTCAGTTACTTCGCCAGCAGGATATCGGGCTGGTAATAGGTATCCGAGCTAATAAAACTTTTCAAACAACATATAGAGGTACAGGGTAGAATGAGTTCAGTAATCAAGGGGGCTTAGAAATGATTGTATGCTGCCTATACTCCTACTAACACGAGATTCCTGTTCCCTGTAAGCATTGCATGCAACGGTGACCCTTGTGTCTTTGCAGGCTGATGCTTTCCCCCTAGGACCCTCGAAGGAGCTTCTAAGCCAATCCTATGCAGCTTCATTTACCGAGGAGGGGATACCATTCAAGTAGCCGGGCTTCATGCCGGTTTCTTTAACGGGCGGGGTTATCGCATCATATATCAAGCGAAGTGCGCAAGTCGGGAGTTGCGTACTTAAGCAAAGTATTGAAAGCGGGGAGTTAAGCAGGTCCATTCCATCAGGTGACTCAACAATCCAGAGGTCTTGAGGGACGACTGGGGAGTTAATTTCGGCATGAAATTCGCGTCACCCTGAGATGATGTACGATCAAAAAGGTATTCTAATCAATGCTTGTACACACGAAGATTCCGGAATAGCCGTTACCGAGAGTTTCCGGTGGTATTACTCGGGTATCTGCGCTAATCCTGCTTTCCTAAGATATAATATGATACTTTGTTCAACGTTCCATCCCAGGAATCCAACTACTGAGCAATTATGGAGTCCTCAGTGAGCTCAACCAAGACAATGACGGCCGAACGAGAACACACCAAGGAACTGGTCGATTGCGAAACAGTAACTCAGCAATTAATCAGAAAAGTCGAGGGTTTGCATACAAAGCCTCTATGGGCACAGATGACTCGCCTGAACCCTCCTCTACCTAATCCCAAGTGTATACCGCACGTGTGGGAGTACGAGAAGATTCGTCCAAATCTTCTTCAAGCTGGGGAGCTCATTACTGAACAACATGCCGAACGCAGAGTGTTGATGCTTGTGAATCCATCCAGAGGTACTACTCGGATTGCTCCGTTAATCGAGAGTGTCCCGCTAATCACCCATAGATGCTCCTTACACCACTGACACGATTTATGGGGGTCTTCAAGTTGTTATGCCAAATGAAACAGCGCCAGCGCATCGACATACTGCATTTGCATGTCGTTTTATCATCGAAGGGGAAGGTGGATTTACTGCAGTACACGGCCAGAGGATCCAGATGCGGCGCGGAGATGTTATCCTGACCCCTACTTGGAACTGGCACGACCATGGCAAAGACGGCTCTGGACCAATGATTTGGCTAGATGGTCTAGATCTTCCTAGCTTTGTCCATTATCCAGTTCATTTCGTGGAACATTATGCCGACCCACGGTATCCAGCGACAGACGCCGACTCCAGCACTTCTCCGATAGTTTTCCCATGGGAGCCCATGAAAACTCTACTAGACGCTAAATGCGAAGATTACAACATGGAGAGATATCTAAAGCCCGATGGATCCGAAAGTATGTCCCAATCTTTCCATGATTCATAAGTTTTAGAGAATAATACTGATCCACGACACAGTTAGCCGCACTTTAGGTGCAGCTGCTATCCGTGTATCAGCTGGAAAGTCAACCAAAGCGATTCAAGAGACCGCTTCAGCCATGGTGCATGTCATCGAAGGCAGAGGAAAGTCTTTGATAGCAGGGAAGGAATACACCTGGCAGCAAGGTGATACATTCTGCATTCCAGCATGGCACGAATACCAGCATTATGCCAGCGATAAAGGCACTGTCTATCTATACGTATGCCATGACCAGCCGATGCTCAAGTCGTTAGGCTTCTACAGGACAAACAATAAGGATATCGAGGCCCTGAAATTTAGTTGATTGGAAACCTATGTACTGTAGTAACGTCACAATCGAATTCCAATTGAGATCTAGTCATAAGTATACACAGTTGAGTCGAATAGAAAGCTCACATTGCAATAATTTCTTACTAATACATCATTTGGCCAAAAAATAAAGTACTTGTTCCATATACTATAACGAAATCTATATTCCAGTCTGGAATACAATCAATCACTAAAGCTCGAACAAGTTCCCTATGCAAATTGTACAACGTTCTTCAGAGTTCCGATCTTACTAATCACGACCTCCATGATCGTGCCCGGGACAAGATACTTTGGAGGTTTCAGACTGGCACCTACACCTAAAACCAATCAATTTCAGTACTCGGAACGTTCGGTATAAAATTGACAACGTACCTCCCGGAGTTCCCGTCATAATCACTGAACCTTTGCACAAGGTTGTGCCTTGAGACAAGTAATAGATGAGATATCTACAGTCAAACAGCAGATCACTCAGAGACTCCTTTTGTCTGATATCACCATCTACTTTTGTCTGCAGCAGCAATTCCTTATAATCTCCAATCAGGTCAGGTCTCACTAGAACAGGACCTAGAGGAGCAAACGTATCAAAGCCTTTCGAGAAACCCCACTGAGGCACTACCCCGGCCAGCTTTGGATCGCGCTGAAGTTTGCGCGAAGAGATGTCGTTGCCGGCTGTATATGCAGCCACGTAATCCAGAGCATCATCAAGATTAACATCTTTCGCATCCTTGCCAATAACTAGAACAAGCTCACCTTCGTAGTCAGCTTGATCATCCTGCGCAATCTTTGGGATAACAACATCAGCGCCAAAATCATGAATGCATGTATTGGGCTTGAAGAAGATAAAAGGGAACGGTGGAGGACTTCTTCCAGCTTCTTGTACTTAATTCTCTCATCAGTCGAGGATACAATATTGAGAAGTAGGGTGGTTGTATAGTTTGGGTTTTACTTACTATGTTTTGCATAGTTTAGGCCAACGCAGCGGAGAATGTCAACGTCATTCCGCTCGAGAGGGCCTAGCAGTGTTTTTACTGTGACAACCTCATCAGACACTCTAGTTTTGCCGGTGGTGTCGTAGATATCATCTCCAATGATCACTTTTGCCTGTAGCTTGGTCTTTTCATCTGTTTGACCCAAGTCAAAATTCGGATTGGGAAGAATTGGCTCGCCACGTAGCACTCGGCCATCAGTAGCCACGAAGCGGATTAATCTGTTCCATGAAACCAACATATTTAGAACTGGACAGAAGGTAAAAGACTTCTGTATTCGACCGCGGAAGATCTCTCTGTACTACAAGCGCTGTGAGTTTTATTGTCATGCAGGAAGAACAGCATTCTTTAAAGTAATAAGATATCACAGAAATTCGGAGTTAGAAATTGATCGATCGATTACTATCACATAATAGGTACCAGAGCTGCGTAGGCATTTCCAGTCTGTAGTAGTTCGCGGGGAGTTAAGCAATTTCGGTCCGACGGATTAGCGGAAGATCTCGGACGTGCCGGCACTGTTGTGTGGACGAAATGCGGGGCACTCATCTCTCATGTGGTGAACCAGGCACCTTTATTCTTTAATTCCGCGGCGTGCGCTTGTAACGCATTGACCGATTAAGAATCATCTTTGAGTATTTCGCGGCTTTGAAAATCTCAGGTCGGGAGGACATTCCGACCACACGGCACAATGACATCTCCGGGTCTCAGTGGTGATCACCGCCCAAACGATGTCACGACACGAGCCGATGAAAGTGCTGCAACAAGGCGGGCAAAGAGGAACAGGGCAACCATTGCATGCACAAATTGCCGACAGCGCAAATCGCGTGTAAGTGAAAGCACCGTGTGTCTGGGCTCATAAGCTAGACATTCTCATGGTTTCGGGCCTTGGCCTTACCTCATCACCATTGATAATTGCTAAGTGGTTGGCATAGTGTGATGGCTTACGACCAAAATGTTCCGTTTGCAAAGATTACAGCCTAGAATGCGCATATTCAAATACAAGCACTCTTACTAAGAACTCTGTTTCCAAAGGGTTAGCCTCCTACTAACGAAGAGTACGGCGTTATCAGCAGTCATTCCAAGCTGACTCACTTGTAGACTTATAGAAGCACTCGAAGCTCGGCTCACACGTCTCGAAAATGGTTTTACTGGAATGTCTACCAGAGTAAACAAGATCGAAGATCTCCAGAACAAGGGAACTACACATATATCCTCCGTATCGCATGCATCTGGAATCCCTAGTGATCTCCCACTTTCGCAGGCGGATGATAGTGCAAGAACTTTAGCTGAACTTGAAGATCCGACTGATGGAATGGGCTCAATGATTTTTACAGATGAAGAAGACTTGCGATTCTTTGGTAGCAACACCATTTCTGGAATGTTGCGTGTTTCAAGTGACTAACTGAGTGCTTAGGGCCATCCTCTAACATTGCGTTCACACGTCGTATCGTTACATTAACAACTGCGATCCTGAAAAAGGCTGCATCAATGGGTAGTCCAATATCACCTGAAGAATACACTATAACAAGTCACATCCCGCGCATATCCCGGCCTCCATCTCCGATACCGATTCTTACTGATCATTCTGACGCCGCTTCAATTGGAACAGAACCGTTCATACTGCCACCGCAACAAGACACTCTCCATCTTATAGAGCTTTACTTTAGTTCAACTGGAACTCTCTTTCCATACATCGACAAAGACGGCTTTCTTCAGACTTATCGGCAGCTTACTTCAACAAACATGGTTTCTGTGCGGAGATCATGGCTTGGCTTACTTAACGTAATTCTTGCAATGGCAACAAGTACCAATACAGGTTATGACGCAACGCTATCTGCGCAGGAGCGTACGTCCAAGTCAAATGTCTACTTTCGCCGCGCTTCGGTTCTTTGCGATCGACAAATACGGCATGGCACAAGTGTCGAGATCGGTAAGCAGAGATACCACCGCTCTTCTTGTCTCTGAGTCTGATGGTATATATGTAGTCCAACTCTTGCTCTTGATGAGCCAGTACCTTCAAGGTTCGGAACGTTCGATTGAGACGTGGAATCTCCACGGTCTTGCTGTGAAGGCAGCTTATCAATTAGGGTTGCACTCTTCGGATGCTCTCCAGCAGTATCCGCCTCGAGAACGAGAGTTCCGTAAACGAACTTGGTATGGGTGTGTCATGCTTGACAGGAAAGTATTACCAACCATTTCACAATTTATTCTAACTTACTCAGAACACTCAGTATGACGATGGGACGTCCCATTTCTATCCCAGAGCACTTCGTCAAAATCGAACTTCCCCAGATTCTTGCGGACTCAGAACCAGAAGATGAAGTGAGTGTGCAGTTCTTTGCAGCGACTATGTAAGTATATAAAAACCTATTGGAGGACTCGGTCCCTAACAAGCTCCAGAACCCTTTACCGGATAATGACAGATGTCTTTGATGTTCTATACGGAAGCAATCTGGGATGTGAAGATCATGTTGATGTTTTCGAGGCCGCCTCCTACCTTCTAAGATGCGAGCAAAGGTTCTTCTCGTGGCAGCGTGACCTTCCAAAGCAGATTTCATTGATAAAGCCAGAAGATCTGGAGCGAGCGCCAAACGAGTTTAGAATCCTGGGGCTGCGTATCATATTGACACTAAGGTTTCTCAATTTGCGCATCCTTGCACACCGGCCAATACTCTGTATGTACCTGGAGGGCCTGGGGGCATCTCAGGTAGATCCTTTGCAGTTAGTCACATTGCGTCAGGTCGGAGCCAACAGCGTCCAGCTTTGTGTTCAGTCGGCAACCACCATTGTCAACATCACTACCTGGGCATTGGAACACAATAGTCCCCACCGAAACCTGCTTGGAGCGTGGTGGTTTTCACTCTATTACAGTAAGTCGCAAAGAGCTATGCGATATTTCACGAGGTTGAACTCACCTTCGCAGCTTTTAACGCGTCACTTGTGTTATATTCCGCATTAATTATTCAGCACCAAACAAAGCTGTGGAGCCAGCCAATGGCGATGGAAGAGTTGCATCTGTCCATAGAATCTCTTCACGGCGCAACGAAATGCCTGTCTCAGATTTTCATAGGGAACAGGATGGCAGAAAAGTGTGTTCGGTACACTACTGCACTTTCAAACTGGTTATCAGTGATGTGTAAGAATGACAACCTTGTCCCATAGTACCACTCATTGACTTAGCGCATAGACATGTCAGAAAGTAATCCTGCTTTCGGAATCCCAGGCTTGCCCAATACTTCGTCCGAAAGATTCGCGATGCAAGGGGGTTCTGATGATAGTGCGCAGTCACACGAACACCTGCATTTTTATGACTCCACCGACTTGCACTTAGGACTTGACTCGGGCGAGCTTCTAAATCCATCTGATTTTAGCTTTCTATGTAGATTCGCAGAGCCGAATGTGTCATGAAATCAAGTGCAAGGTTCCGTGGACTGATAGATTACTGAGTCTTTTATGCACATGATGAACCGATTCGACACATGACACTTTCCAACAAGAGACAATATCTGCTAAATTATAAATACATTCTATCCCTTATATGAGAATACTAGTATCTTTGTAACAAACCTTTTCCATGAACTATTTCGCGCCCTGTCCGCACGCTCATCAATAAGTCGTTACATTGCTCTACTCGTTGGCAATACTCGCATGCACTAACCTAGCATCGTCCTCAATATCATCTCCCCTCGTGTCTACTATTGTAGCTTCTCACAACGCGAGACGATGACATTATCAAGGAAAGATAATAGCTTGCTTACGTTAGCGTTCATCCGTCCTAAACTCGGTTGGAATAGTTCAGGCTGTGTTCTCCATTCAGACGATGTCGGGAAAGTGTGATCATATCGTACCTCTTTAGGAACAATCACCTTGGCAAAAAAGGGTATAATCTTTGAGAATGATTGGAGGTTTATGCTGGTAGGAAACTTACACTTATATCCCGTCGCCACTATGTTTTACCACGTTTGCTATATTATATTCTCAGTCTCGCAATCTTCGATATGTATATCTGTACAGAGCGTGGTTAGAGTCAAAGTATCAAGGGGTGACGGATAATGAAGGGAGAAGGTTCACGTGATTTCAGAATTGAAGTCTCAGATGTCTTCAAATAAAGCTATCTACTAAATCTAACAAGGATCCTATATATACCAGCGGTATAATCACGTGCTTTTACAGCACGACATATGTATGTGAGCAGAAGGGATATCATTGCGAGTAACTATGAGTCGATGATGCGTCACCTCCCTGAGTTTCGTCTTACATTTGCCGAATTCTTCTGGATGGCCCCATTCCGCGTCCGCGATACGCCCGGGATAGTCAGGGTAATTCTTCAATTGCAAAACCTCAGAATACTAAGGACAATAGATGTTTTGCAGCCATCCAGAGCTGCTGGCAGCAGTGCGCAAGATTGAATTGCACGTATGGAATGAAGGATGAGGGGAGAGATCTCACCATTAGGTAGCACATTCCGGTCCTACATACGCATTGATCGGATGTGTGATGTCACAATACACGTCATACACTATCTGGAATACATGCACAATCTTCTTCTATGCACCTTTGCTCCTTGATCTTAATTAATTCTTAAAGTTCAACGTTGTTAGAGAATGATCACGACAAATGATTTCAGATCATGTTTCTATTCGGAGGAGAAGCTCAAAGCGAGATGATGTTGGGATGAGCAGGAATGAGTCATTATGAGCTAGTGCTGAGCTCCTACATGCTCTTGAGCCTTGAGCAGGGATGGCACCTTCGCTGACTACAACCTCACACGTCTCTTCCTCGCTCTTACAGATTTTAGATGTCTACTCAATCATCTGTACAAGGAGTTCTGATCTTTCTTCTCTCATATAGTCATGCCCACGAACTCTACAACTTTGTAGTTCATATGAGAAAGGCAGCATTGGGTTAGTTATTTGATCATCGATGCTCTTTGTTTCCTCTTAGCTCGGCTTGTGTAGAAAGCAATTTGTCTTCATGTGCCTAGACTGTTAATCTTAATGCGAACCTTACGATCGAGGCCCTTCGGTAGTTGATGCGCATTAGATATCCGTTGAGCTAGTGGTTTTTGAGGCCCTTGCGCAGATGCACTCCGTGAATGCATTCGCACCTCATAGTCTCTTGACTGAGATTTCGGACGATAACTGCCATGTATGCTATGATGCCATCGATGTGTAAGAAAATATGTCCAAACTTGAGTTTTTTGATCTCAAGCTGAGTTTCTTTTTTCAATACGCACTGTTGTAGGTCTCCACGACTAACTCCAATCAACTTATCGAAAGAAAAAGGTTTTGTTATGAAGAAGCTTGGCTCACCGTTGAATGGACAGAGGTGGATTATGCTTCCTTAGATGTTCATATGGATGGCTTCGCTCAAGGTCATAACCCATTCATTCATGTCGGCTCGAGTCAGCATCCAATGGTATTTTCTCAAATTATATCTGAAATTTGACCTCTGACATGGTGGGACAATAGTACCTACGAGGAAGCGAGATTGTCAGCCCTGCCTTAAATTTTCCTATCAGAACCAGGTACCCACGATCTCAAACCTCGTCGAGAAATGAACCTAGTGAGTTCACTTTGTATCCTGAGCAGGGCGCAAAATAAGTTACCTATGAAGTGATTACACACAGTAACTTATCGTTCGATATTTAAAATTTACAATTAGGTGTACGTAGAATGCTTGAAACTTGAAGTAAACATCGACCGCTCTTCCAACTAATTCGATATGCGCTACACGTCTCAAAATTGACCTGAGCTTATTGTGTGAATCACTCTCTGTCTCTCTCCCTCTCTCCCTCTCCCTCTCTCTCCACGCGAGACTATATGTAACTGTGAATAAAATAGAGGTGCGAACCTAGATAGACCTCCACGCCCTGCGCTAGAATGAACAACGCGCCATTCCGGCAACTGTTCAACAAGTTCTCACATCCCCTGCTCTACAGCATTATCTGCATTGTCCTCGCCAGACTCGGTGTACCATTTGCAGACGAGACAAACAAGTAATACATTCCGGGGATAAGCACACCACTGTCGTTTGGTAGGCTTACAGTGTAGTTAGGTCCGCTTCTAGAAACGTTTGTCAAAGGGATACGTCTTTGGTCAGTGTTGACCGAATGGGTCACGCTACCCATGCGCACAAGCACGAATTTGAGATTCAATGCTGATACTGACATGTTTATCGTGAACGAGCCTCCAACCTTGATAGACCGGGCACTGACGCTGGAAATGACAGGGCGGGTGGCGACCGAACCGTCAGAATTGAAGAGGTACGGCGGCGAAAATATTTGGCCATTGGGATGATCGGCATGTGGATCGCAATCTCCGCCAGTCCAGCAGAGACCCCCGCCTCCGCTGAAAACACGGCCATCAGCGAGCAGAATGCTGATGGAGTGGTAATTCCGGGGAATAGCTTCTGGAGCAAGAGTCCGCCACTGTTTGGTGTAGGGGTTGAACAGCTCCGGGTAGACTACGGAATCGGTATCTTGAAATCCCTTAACCCACCGCTGGCCACCGGTAATGAAGACTGTGCCATCCGGAAGCACGACGGCATTGGCATAGCCACGAGGAAAGGCCATGTCAGGCATGCGCTCAACCTTGGCAGGCTGGTATGGCTTGTCGATGGTAGTGATATGCGCACGAGTAAGAGACGCGACATCGGAGTAGGATGTTGAGCCACCAGAACTGAAGATTTTACCGGGCTCATACATGGCAAAAATGCCACACATTGCGTGGTTGTCATCTCGGATGCCTGCGCCGACTTGCGATCCTTGGCCTGCAGTGCCGTACCAGTTCTGAGCCTTGCTAGGCCCAGCTTGGAAGACGGAGCCATTTCGCCATGCGAACAGCCAAGCGTGGTTATCCTCTCTCCAGATGCCAGCATTGTCCTGAGTCAACATTGGCCCGACTTTAGCACCAGGAAGCGGCGTCCAAGTGTTGCTCTTCGGATCGTAAACCTCGCCATCCTTTCCTTCACGGGCACCGCTCCATGCTCCTCCGATGGTAAAAATTTTGTTGTCGGAGGTTGTAACAGAAGATTGATAGCCTCGAGCTTTCCCAAGATCAGGACCACGTGTGAACTCGTTAGTCGATGGGTTGTAAAAGCTCGTTACAGATGCGTCTGAACCCCCCTGAATCAGGATTCGTCCGTCTTGGAGACTACTGATTCCAGGGCAGAACATATCGTGCTGGGTGTTCGCAATAGTTCTCAAGGACGTCTGGCCACTGTTATGAGTTAGACGTACGTTCTGCGTAGCGCATTTGCTAAACTTACGTATTGAAATTGTAGTCTCCAAATACAGTTTGCTTCATGGGGCCAGAAAACTCAAAAGGCTTGTATGCGCTGAACACAAGCAATCGTGATGAAGAAGGGAATTCTGGAACCACATAGCCGGCAACGGGAATCAGTGGGAGCCACACTAGATCAGACCATTCGCCCTTAGTAGCTCGAGGAAATTTGAGATCGAGTCGGATGGTGTCGAATTGCTTGTTTAATGACCATATGATTGTATTTGTTTCCTGGCTGCCCTTGAAATGGCAGGCTTTGTAAGTTGCGTCCCACAAAGCATGACTAAATGATGATGAACAGCATTAGCTTTTGCTGAAAATGTCGTCCGATTATCAGAACCACTTACACACATGCGCCATCCCGAGCGCAACGGTCAGCGCAGTCATTCAATGAGTTGACATTCCATTGGATTTGAAGAGTACCACCTCGGAGATCTGAAGAGCGACAGATCTTGTAATTTTTCTAGATATGGAGTAAGCACCAATGCTCGACCTATGACGATGATCAATCACTTACACCATTACTGGAGTAAGATGTCTCTTGGCCTGGGCAGCGAGCAATATCCTTGAAGTTTTGTTGAATAACGTCAAACTGCTGGCTCGGCTCCCAACGCATAGCACCCTGAGCCTTGATGTGGCAATAACGATAGTCGTGGTCGTAAACCCCCCTATAACAATTCTTATCCCCATCGCACATTGCAGCGCATTCTTCCAGCGAGTTAACATTGCCTCGAATTTGAACAGTTTCACCCAAGAAATCAGAGTTGGGGCATAGTTTGTAGCTCATGCCACTCGCACCAGTATAGATCTTCTCGCCATTGGGACATGCATCAAGAGCAAGCGTTGTCCTAAGGAAGGCCGCTGTGATGAGCAACGCTGTCGCGAGATCGATCATGCCGTTGGTGGATGTGAGGATATGAAGAAAGGATTGCTGTTAAATAAGGGTAGCGATGAGGGAGAAAATCCACTCTGGGTAGTTATACGAGGGCACGCCTTTATTTTATATTGTCCTATCCAAGATTGGTTTCCAAGTTGCTGGCGAGGCGTACCATTGACGAGTCTTGGAAGCAGGAGGCACGGAGCTTGCACCGTAACGCAGTTGCAAGAAGGAGGAAGCTAACTATTCCCCATTCATCAGACTACGGGAACCTATCCTGCATAACCGTGTTCTGACAATTATTATTAGTGTCATGTGCAGCCACTAGATGACGAATTTGGTCCTAGTCAACCTGCTAACAGCGCTGAAACACGACAGAGCCCATTGGTAAAAGTGTATCTCTCTTGGCATGAACGCTTCCAGAAAATATGCCAACGTCATTGCCAACTCTAAAATTCGTGGTCCGAGGAACGTGTCAGGTCCTCGTACAAGCCTCGAATACCGCTATTAGTATCGTTCGGCAAACCCCTGAATCGACTGAACTTAGGCCCAAGCCACAAGAACATTTTTCATAATTATCAAAGGAACCAGGGGGTTATGTACTGCTTATAGAAGTGGAAGTAACCATAAGAATGGAGACGCGCTACTTGAGCCATCCAACCTGGTGGCCTGCGCAAAGCAACTTATTGGAGAATAGAAATTGCTTCTAACTGAGAGTTCCCTGTTCTATGTTTGTGGAGCTGACAATGCCAAGGCTCTTAGAGACTAGATAGTAGCTTTGAAGCCCCTTATTGCCGAGTCATTAGACAACTTAGCGTAAGGTATGAACGACCATGGTACTCTGTAAGTCCATGTGGCGAGAACTCTTTGTCCCTCTTTGGCATAGCAGAGGGCGTACCATTGATGGATTTTGGCCACACGTATTTCAAATGTGCTGCATATGTTTTAGACGCTGATTCTAAGAAATATATTCAGCCAGATCGCAGCCGTATGGATGAACATTGACTGCAAGGCAATTAGAGCTGGATTTTTTAGGTACGAACTTCTTCTCTTCTAGACCAAAGCTTGCTAATCTGTTTTGCAAATAATTCTTCATGACTCTAATTAATAAACCTCCACGATTGCATTGAACCCAATGAGTTATTTATTTAGCTTTTAATCACATTACCTTGCCTAACAGCGGTGATACTTGCTTTGAATGTTCTAGGTTAGATTATAGCTTTTCGCAACTACTTAATAGTTACATCCTAGCCCATGCCTTGCATCGAGTATCAAGGGCCGAAAACCAGCACATCCTATATATAGTGCCTAACAGCTACCAGTGCCACCTAGCCATTTTCTCTAAGATATCGCAACCTAATCACACCCAATGCAACTTCACGTCGCCCAAAGAGTTTGAGTGTCAGCCCTAGAGTTAGGACGGTATCGTTCCATCACTTACTAGGACCCATCATTTCGGGCATGGCGTGGAGCTGATCTGGCTCACTGGGCGTACCAAAGACAAAGCCTTCACATTAGCCAGTATTCAATGTTAAACTTTGATACGAGGCGGGATGGCGAGAAACCATTTGTGATGAGTTTAGGTTCCTCTTCTGCTCCAGAAGTCTGACACTGTTGCACATCCTGAGAATCCTTCATCCAGACGACTTGCATGGGCATGAAAGCTTTGGGCTCAAAAACCAATCGTCCCATAAAACGATCACCAATTCTCAAGTATCCGTTAGATATTTTAAAGACTGCGGCATCACTGCGGTCCCCGAGTTTGGATGGGTGCCGCTCATCGTCATCTTGGGGCGGATTCACGACAAATCTACCGTTCACTTCCATAAGGAAGGGTTGGTAGAAGGTTGCAGGATACATACTGGCTAGTGCGTTGATAGTAATAAGCTACGAAAATGCGAGAGTATATAGAGCAGGCGGTGCTCGAAAGATGAGTGAGGATGGTGCTTGAGATTGACCTCGTCTACACGTCTTTTATATTCGTTCACGTTAAGGATCACGTGCTGTAAAAGCCGAACCTCATGGTGTCATATGACACCCACCCTGCTTCAAAGAGTTAGAGTTTGGCAGAAGCAAGAAGTGGCTACATGATACCCTGCGATTATAAAACCAGTAATCTGAGAATGTCGTTACATAAACCTGCAAATTTAGTGGACTCTATCAAAGTGTTCGGGATATGACCGGGGGGGTTAGCTAATCTGAATGGAGATCCATAGGTTGCGCACATTTTTCAGGCGGTGTGATGTGTCTGAAGATCATCTAGCTCTGCAGTGTGTGCCTACAATCGCATGTTTTGAAAGAGAATGTGTAGAAACTGTTGGTCGCCGTTTCCGGGGAAGATTGAAAAGAAAACAAAAAGGCACGGCTGCGCACATGCTCGGTAAGCCCGCGATGAAGCAGTAACATACACTACATGTCTAGGATAAGAGTAATGACAGACTCACAGGGAATAGACTCGCAACGACCTTAAGCTTACAAGTTCCGTTACAAGAAATACACAAGAGAAATATAAGTGCATGTACGTTGGGAAAGCGAAGTTCTCCGAAAGTCAGTTCATGCGTGTGTATCGTTGACCCCGCCCTCAGCTTTCGCAAGCTGCAAGCCAAGCCGCAGGTGCTCCTTCCTTTTTCTAACACATTTTCCATATTGAGCACGGTGTTCTAATGCTCCTGTTATCGCCGATTGTCGTTCTCGCGTAACGATCTAGGAAGAAGAACCGAAGCTGCAAAAAGCATGCGTACTTCGGTTACATCCCGACAATCACATACTAAGGTTTGTTTCCTGTGTTAGTTCAATGGGTGTTGCATCGCCAAATGCCAATACGCACAACACAGCATGTCGCCTTCATTCATGTGTACACAGCTCCAATTGCTACACGGCGTTGGGATACACTTCTCTGGTCTCGGTCTAGGTTACTCACAGCAGTATAGCCGAACGCGGCGATACCGGTGCCAGGTTATATGCCTGTTCTGAATGAAAGAGATGCGTGTTACATCATGTCGCAGTTTGGAAGCATTGATTACACGAGACAAAAGACGAATTTGATTGTGAACAATCTCGAGTAAAAGACCCCCAGTCAAGCCCACATCTCGAAGCTCATCTCCTAATTAGATCGCCCCGCCAACGCTTGAAGTACAAACGTCTAAGAGAGAAAGCTCTGGCAATTGAACAGTCGTCTAGTGAACTAGATCAAAATGGTGAAGAAACAGTGCAGGAGCTGTTACATCTTTAGCATCCATTTGCCATGCAAGAGCCTATTGCGGACTGAGCAATGGCATTTGCTACGATATCAAGCGGGGGCGCAAAGATACCTGCAACCCACACAGCAACACCAGCGCCGAAGGTGAGGCCCTTGCATAAATCACACTTCTCGCTAGCCGAGCAGTCAATCTCGTAGTTGAGCTCTCCCTGGTCGGCGTCGTTGGTGTCTGGAACGACAATGCTAAGCGCCTGCGGGACCCACGTGTAGTCGACAAAGTGGTCCACATATCCACCAACGCATGAGTCCCTACCGCTCTTGCACGGACCCCATATTCGTTCGTTGACGTTCTCGTGCTTTATCATGTCGGGTTATCCGGTGCCGATCTCCTTGAGCGGGTTGGCCATGGCGGGCGTAGTGCCCTTCTTGTTACCATGGCATCGGAATTTGATCTTGCAGCCACCGGGAATGTCGGTCCACGACTCGTCACACATTCCATTATCCGAGTAGTTGATCTTGCCGAAGACATCCGCCGGATTGATGTTACCATTGAGCTTAGCGAAGTCCATGGTAATGGAAAATTTTACAGACAGCTTGTCTCGCGAGGCGGCGTGGGGTGTTCCTTTTTGTTGCAGACGTAAGCTGTACGACACTCACCGGGTATCGTCTTGTGGTATGAGAAGCATGCCACGGATCGCCGAATTGGGAGCGTGTAAATAGGCCGGCACGATCCAGATCATTGATAGCTGGGTGGATTATGAGTGTAATATCGATGGTCAAGAACTTAAAGGTGATGCTGCTTTCACACCATAGATAAAGATAGCCAGCTAATACGGTGTCAGTGCCAGTAGGTGGGTTTACTGTCGTCTCTTCTGCGTCCTGCCAGATGTCTCCGGCATAGTAATTGGCGGCGAAGGAGCTTGCCCAGTCTGGGTGGCCTGCAATCCTGCCGAAGCCGCAGTCCAAAAGGGCAATGTTCTCGTTGGAGGTGCTATCCGCGACGCTCGAGTGGGCAGAGGAAACCAGTGCGAGGAAAGCAGAAGTGAGAATGCGAAATTGATTTTCATTGGATAAGTATAGATGACTATGATGCTTAAACTTGCATGAGGGGAGATTTCTGTTCTATATATGTATCGGTTCCTCTTGAAGCATGGCGAAGAAGCATATAATTGTACTACTTCTATCAGTATTTAATTACTCATTTACATTAGCTTCGATATATTCTTCTAAGAGAGTCACTAAGTCTGTATAGACATCTGTCTTCACCCAATCTATTTTTCCAGTAGTATCATCATCCTCAACCTCGTCCTAAACCTCGCTCTCTTCATCTATAGTTCCATCCGTAGTCATTCTGGCATCCACGAACGCCTCTTCCCAGTCGTCTGCATCACGGATTATCATGAGGCTTAACTGTGGCAGCCAGGCTTTCGCATTGTCCCTCCAGATATGCAGCAAATCGCTATACTCTTCCTCGGTTAAGCACTGCCTCATATGATTGTCCGGCAGAAGTTGCAGTTGTTCAAGGCTCGCAGCCAGAGGGGTCTCTTTTTGAGGGAGGGAAGTAATCAACGGCCAATCGGATCGGCATGACATCACTAACTCTTCCAACTTCTTGCAATGCCGACCGAGAGTCTGGATGCTTTGAATACATTCCAGCTCACTCTGAGTGTCAGATTCGAATAGCAGATAGAGGTGCTTCAGATTGCAAAGATGTGGAGCTAGTTCTCGGATGAGATTGTCGGTAATTCCTGTCGCGGAAGGCTTAGTGTCAGACCAGCTATCAATGCCTATCTTCAATTCCTCTAGGCCTGGACAACTCTGAGCCAATTGTAGAAGCTCATCGCCGTGGATGACTGTGCTCGAACTGAGCTGAGCGGTGAAGGATGTGAGCTGCCGAAAGCCCGACGCACTAATCAACACATTGTTCGTACGCCCCATGTCGTGGTTTCTCAAGCCTATTGCTTCGATCCCAGGAGCAATCTGACGAAAGACCCTCAAACTCTCTGCTGTGGCGCTGAGGTACAGGTGTCTGAGCTTAGGGAACCAACGCTTTTCCGCATCTGCCTGGATGGCGAGCAAATGATCATCCTGGACATATGGAAGAATAGCTTGGTCGAGGTTTGGGTAGGAAGCGATTACTCTAAGCATTTCGAGAGAAAAGACTTCCTCAAATCCTCGCTCAAGATCAAGCGAGTCGACATTGGGCATTCTCTCTAACATTCGCACCACTGAGTCTGAAGAAGCTGTAACTTTGAATGGACGCAAAAGCAGATAGTTCAGTCTTGAGCACAAACTGGCCATCGTATCGAAGAAGTAGTCCGAAAGCGGTGCACAACCATCGACGGAAAGTTGGCGGAGGTTGGACTTGGCGTAGTGAAGTATTACGGCCTCGGTGTTGAGTGTTGCTCCATGATCTGTCTCCCAGAACGAAACAGATACCAACTGTGGAAATTGCAGTTGGCATAATACGCTATGCCAACTTGTCTGGTCGATGTAGGCATTGTCGTAATGGAAGCACAACTCTCGCACCAGATTCGCATACACTTGTGCGCGATGTGGACCTATGTCGTCGCGCAGCACCATTGCCCCAAGATCTTGTATGTCGGGATGAACTCCAGTGAAAGAATCGCAGGTAGACCACAGAATTCGCCTTGCTTCTTCGAGGAAGAGGTGGTTGACAAAAAGACAGTTGTACAACAGTCCAGGCTCATCACTTCCAGTGTTCAAGATTGCAGCTATCACCTCAGGGAGGAGTAGAGCCCTATGCGACATGCCTGAGATGAAGGCTAGGACAGAGTGATAGTCTTGTTGATCGCAGTTATCGAACGGTCAACTGCAATAATAATAAAGACCTCCGACGGGAAGGTGTAGGGGTGGCCAAGGAGGGAACTTATGGAAGAATTGACGGGAGGTCTTCGTGAGTAACACTTAAGAATACGCCTATTAGTTACGACCTCGATATTTAATAAGGAGCCTGCAGTTATGCGAGCAAATAGTTAGTGACCCACTTTTCTTGCAGAAAAATCCCCACTAATTCTAGGCTAGTCTAAGTTTGATGATTAATAGCTTATTTTAAAGTGTTAACTTAGGATTCTAGAGCTACTAGTAAGCTTTGAAAGAACGTATTCATTACGCGATTTAGACTAGTACTCGCCGAGGTATTTAGCTACCCACCTACTACCTATAATTTACTACTCCAACTTTAATAAGCTTTAGTATATTGCTAGCTCATATATATACTATAAGCTTTATTAAGAACTCTCTATTAGTTATATTTACTTAGCCTACTAGTTTACGCGCTATTACTAAGAGCTCTCGCAGAACTGAAATGGCCAGACACCTTAGGAAAGCGAAAGGCCCAGTTCCTTAGCGTTCTACTACTTAATTTACTTAATACGTAGCTGCACTTCTGTACGTAAGATTTAACTCTTCTAAAATCTCACTATCTACTAAACTCGTATAGTATCTAATTTTAGATATTTCTAATATATATTCAAACTTTATTATTATGCTGTTTGGTAACGTCTCAAGTGGCTCCTTTGGTGGTGGCTTGGTGTTGTCCGGCTGTGTTACTGCGGCGAGGGAAGGGGCAATAGGCTGTAGCCCTCGCCGCACGCGCCTGACCGAATTTATAACGCATAATGTCTAAGTGCAGCGATAATCACACAAGCATAGCCCTCTGTTACATCTTGCCCACCCTTTAATTTTCCCTAGCTTGATTTTGTAGTACTTTCTAAGTATATCATAGATAATAGCAGGCTTGGCGTCCAAGAATGCCAACGCTCCGCTCGCTCAGTGCCAAGCACTAGATTTTAGCTTAGAGTTTTGTTTAATCTATCTGTAATTCTTACAGACGGTAAGAGCCGTTAGGTCATTGTTTTTCCTTCGGTAGACGCGTGTTACGTTTTCGGGATTTCGTTTCTGGAGAATCGTTCAACTTGTTCCATAATCTTTGTTTCATTGACTACGTAAGCAAAATCTAGTAGGTTATCTAAGCTACTTTGGCCTCTTAGGCGTTATAGGCGCTGCAAGAATTATGAAGGTGCAGAAGCGTCATGGAATAGGCATAGAGCATGGTGGCTAACATTACAGCCATGGAATAGCTGTTTCACCGCCGTTGGACAGCCATTGCAAGCCTTAGCTGCCACAAAGCATAGTCTCAACCTTTTACTAGTAAAGGTTATAGAGAAGCAAGAGCGTCGTATCCTGACAGTAGAATACTATCAGAATACGGGTGCTTATGGTCTCTGTACTCATATTATTGCAGCCGTAGAACAGCCGTAACAAGACCCCAAGATCTTGCATATTAGGTATTGCGCGCACAGACACAGTACAGCCCTTAACGGTGTATATAAAGGGGATGGTATTGTATTCTCGAGAACATCATCATTCACGCTTCAAACTTCCAGTCTTCTCCGATCTAGCTACGCTCTTTCGATACCACACACTCTGTTGTTCAATCTTCCACTCGATTTCAAACTTCGCTTTCAAAATGCAGTTTACATCCCTTCTTACCGCCCTGCTGTTGGCTGCTCCAGCAATCGTCATCGCTGCACCTGTGGCCAACAACAACGCTGTCAGTGCCGTCACTGACGTCTTCACTCGCGACAATCCTACCTGCAACCCTGTGTTCTCCACGGATGCCAAGGTCAAGGCACAACAGCAAAAGTCGTTGCAATTGATGAAGGACCTCACCAAGGAGTACCATGCCGCTGAGAAGAAATGCCCCAGTAACGCAATTACCACTTTCACCAAGAAGGGAGGCGACAAGAATGCCAAAGAAGCACTCAAGAAGAAGTGCATTGAAGGATACACCGAGTAAGTCTTCATGGTAGAGTTGGTTGTGAATGCGTGACAGCTGACAATTCAAACAGGTGCGCACAGAAGCGTCAGGAGGCCAACAAGGCTTGTGTTGCTGCTGGCGGAAAGAGCGATGAAGGTCACAAGCAAGCTGTCCAATTCTGCAAGACCAAGGCTGCTGAGTGGCGTGCAAGGAAGGTTCCCAACTAATTGTACCAAACCAAGGCTCTTCAGAGTAGGAGTAGGAGTAGGGGACGATATTGACGAACGGAATCGTGGGAAGGGTGGGCAAAATCTTACAAAAAAATCTTCCTTACTTTATATTACATATTATTTTCAATTCCAAAGTTTATCTTCTTATATTATTATTAGCTCTATGACTGACTGAGTGTTTCTTCTCTGTTTTCTATGTAGCGTGTCGGTCCAATTGTCTCAGAAAAGAATGGCAGATCACACCCCAACCTGCCAGAGTCAGGGATCAAAAAAACGACTTTGTAGTCAGGGTGAAAGGATTCGAATGAGTTTCAGCGAGACCCTTGCTCGAACCCTGAGATATAAATGTTGTGGGAGGATATGAAATCGTAGCGTAGAAAGTTCATCAGCAGAGGATGCTTTGGCCAGGAACTGTACATTCGATCCGTGCGCGATGGCCTGGGTACCTTCTTCCTGTTTGTATAATGCATTATTACAATTCTTCTACTTGATGAAAGGAACAAGCAACGCCGTACCGATGAGCCCATCCTTCCATACTTTCTCACACCCCAATCAACAATTATCAATCGACGAAGCATCTCCACTTGCCAAGCCGGTACAGATGTCGTTCGTACACGCTACAGATGAGGGTATGTTTGTAATAACTACATTAGAGTGGCACTTAACCCATTGTCTCTATGTCTTGATGAAGAACGTACGGTCCAAAGAAACGATGATAGGAATCGAGCCAAGATACTGCCACCTAGGCCATCTTGAACATTGTTCATCGACCCTGCTTTGCTTCACCAAGTCATCAAACACTGCCAGTAGCAAACACACCTTTTCTCAGATTGATATATATCCCTAAAAGCTAAATCCAATATAACAACCAGGTAACACAAAAATAACCATTCCATATTCTAAACATCGATTGCCGGCCACGTTCACTAAATATATGGTAGTAGTAGGTTTTAATATCAAGATTTTTAAAGAAGTACCTGGGTAGAGTAGACGATTGCGCATTGGATAAACTATTATTCGTATTAACTAGCTACAGTATAGACGCGGAGTTGTTTACACTCAAGACGAATGGTTACATTCATCAAAATGTTGGTCTTGACAAGCTGGCGTAGAATGCCTTAACCTTTGGATGTGCTTGTACCTTGTGAGGGTTGAAGTTCAGCACTTATAAACCGTCTATGCTCGTCGCACGGGACAATGCTATGTACGCCTGGCCCTTCTAGAATACGTTGCCCAAGTCTACCTTCACAAGTGATAGCGTCTGGCCTTATGCCTTGTGAATGCTCAATGCCCACGCAAGGATAAGGGGAACTTGGGTTCGGGTTGCAAGTTCCTGGCAAAACCACCTATCTTCTTCATCATTGTCTACGCCTTTCTTTGCTTGTATACGAACCCATCGCTCAATAATCCACCGTTCAGGGTAGCAAAGTACAGTTTGTTTTCCATGTGATCCATGGAAGCGCACTACAGGGTAAATTGGCGGGCGTTCCTCTGGCTAAGCTTCCTCATCTGTAACCAGTCTGGCTTCAGAATCCCAATCTTCACTGGCAACGTAATCCTTGTGGTGCCATTGAGCATGGAAGAAGGTGTGTCGATTTGCGAAACCAATTACACGGCCCTGGGATCCGTTGACAAGGCCATGACCTAAGTTCTTAACAAGCATAACTTGTGCACCCTGCTTCAGTTGGATCATCTCAGGTGCGGGGCAATTGGACAAGAGTCTCTTGCGAGTATTTGTGTTTGTGACAATTCCGCCATCGCAAGATTTGTATTTGTACGCCCTGCCTTTTAGTGTTTGCAACTTTGTAACATTTGCAGAGTCAGCCTCACGACGTAGAGGGAAGAGCTGAGCGGCTTCCAACCCCTTGTCTGCAAATTTCGCTACTGGCCTGCTCAATCTTCGAAAAGTGCTAATAGTACTTGGTGAGAGGCGGCCTTCGCGCATCTCGTTCAACATCCCGGCAAATAACGGGTCCTTCTGTCTGTAGACTTTAGTCAGACTGATCGTGTGCCGGACAGCTTCCTTCCATGCATTGGCTTCGAAACAGAACCTCGGGCTTCCATCGTCACTCCCTTGCACTACCGGAGGTAGCTGAAAAAAGTCGCCTGTAATAACAAGCTGAATTCCTCCAAATGGTAGGTTAGAGAACCGCACCGCGCGTCCGATGGTGTCAAGCTTGTCGAACAGCGTGCTATCGACCATAGATACCTCATCAATGATAAGGACCTCGACTCCTGTCCAACGCTCCCATGACGTTTTGTTCTTGTGTATATCAGCAATGAGCTCTTTTGTAGGGGCATTGCCAAGTTTTATCCCAGCAAAACTATGAAGCGTCTTTCCGCCAATAGTGTTTGCAGCAAGACCTGTAGACGCGGTAACAGCAACGCGGCCAGTGCTATTTCCAAGGTATTTGATCGTTAGGCCTTCTATGATTTTCTTTAGAAGAAAAGACTTTCCAGTACCTGCAGGGCCCGTGAAGAAGACGTTCTCGCCCTTATTCAGAACGAGGTCTAACACAGCCAGCTGCTCGTCGCTCAACTCTTGTTCCGACGATTTTACTGCCGATTGCTCAAGTTCTTCGGTGTTTACTTCTGTTATGACAGTCGACTGGATTGCCCGGGGTTTCCTTCAAGGGGGTTTCTTTGCTGGGTCATTCGCAGTAGAAAGGTGTCGAAGCGAGATGTTCAATGATATTTGTCTCCCCCAGCGGGCGGTTAACTCAACCTTTATCAGTCTCTGGTGATCCTGGCTGGCCCTATAGCGGCTATCGGAAGCTCTTACACACGCATGTGGCAGTTTTTTCACTGTACATATCTATAACTTGACGATGTAGTGTTGGACTGATGGTAGTGACACAATTGTCGACGCGCCTAGATACTGCGGTTTTGGCTGGCGCGTTACTACTAGGCGAAAACGCGGCCGAAACAGATTGCATGAGCGACTAGTGGCCGTTGCACCATGTTTCATTAGTAAGGTATCACGGTAATGAGAGGCTGATAATATCATCTCAAAAATAGTTTTTGCCTGTGATTAGTTGTACAGTTGGTCCACCTGTTCGTCGAGCATATCGCTGTGTACAAGACACGTCAGTTGCACGTGCCATTTAATGGTCAATGCGTTTCATGTGTTGCTGCGATACGGAATACCAAATTCAGTCTGCTTCACGCACAAAGCAGTCCCCATGCGATGTCCTTGTAGTGGGGTCATAACGAAAACATCGGAGTTCATTTCCAATCCTTAAAACTGCGGTAATGGAACATTTGTATCGCGCAGGGATTATTCTTTTAGGCAGTATTGTGCTGACACTCCCGAATGAGCACGGGTATCTATATATACGGACTACTTTTAGGAATGTTGGTGTTTATATTAGTTCTCCAGAGTCGCCTGCGTATTATCTGGCTAAGCCACCAGCTTCACGAGCATACAACTGCACTTTACTCGAACAGGTAATTCTAATGACGTTGGAAGAAAAGTCAACAATTACTTTAAATTACTGTGCTAAATACTGATTAGTGGCCCAAAATACATGCTATTGTCTAGCCAATCCGATTGCTGGAACACCCGGACTGAGCACCCAAAGGAAAGCATAATTCAAGAATTTCAAAGAAATTGTTAGCTTATAACCCTCTTTGGTCCCGTCCGACTGGACCAGACTTCCCATGGCCAACATTCACAAAACCTGTGCCTGTCAAAGTGTCCGAAGTGTTTTGCTAGCGGTGTTCCGTACTCATTAACCTCGGCTCAACACATGGTATTTACTCTGGTCTCACCGGGATGATCGGATTCAAACTTTCCCGGCACCGGTTTGAGGGGCTCGGCCTTACTTTTAGACTAGGATAATTTTCCCAATCATCGCAGAGCGCAGAGGCTATGCAATGCTTTTCTATGTTTACCCTCATCACCGCTCCACATAGACATTATGAAAGTCGATCACCTCGAAGACTTGATGGCATTACCATGGTGTACAGCACTTCTTTCCGATCCTTCAGTAACGCATATAAGTAAACGCTTGGTACCTGATGCAAACTCAGAACGTGCAAACGAGGATACGTTGGTCTCTCGGGCGCTCTTCACCGACAGTTCTATTCGCGCCTATGTCACATTGTATCGACCGGGAAATGGGCAAGGAAGAGAAGTAGGCACAGGAAACCTGATGATCAAGAGTGGTTTCGTGCGCACGGAACCTTCGCCCGAATCCCGCCAGCAAGAAACGCGAAGGCAAGCGAAGAAACAAGAAAAGCATTTCGATATCAGCGATTCTAATAGCCCCGAAGAAATCGCCCTTGTTTCCGTTGGTAGCGACGTTAATGGCGGACTTGGCCGGCTTCACGGTGGCATTATTTGTACGCTATTGGATCATTGTATGGGCGGTTTCTTACACTATGCTTATGAAACGCGCGCGCTTCTAACTGCAGAATTAACGGTCAAGTTCAAGAGGCCAATGTATACGCCTACTGTTTTCATGGTGAGAACCAAAGTCAAGAGAGAGGTGGGCAGGTGGATTGAGACGGTGGGGTGGGTTGAGGACGGCCATGGGACCGTATTTGCAGAGGCCTCCGCAACATATGTGCTTGTGAAGATTGAGGAGGCTAAGCTTTAGTGAACGGTAAAATGCATACGGATACTGGAGCGACTTCGAAGATCAGAATTGTATGCGAACGACACAAAGATGTTAGAGTATAGAGGGTCTCCAACAATAGAGTGCGAACTCAAGAGCCAGCAATACCCAATCACTACTATTCAAGATGACCAGTCTTGCGAGATGTCAATCACATGACTGATCTATGCCCTCCGCGGTGGCAATTACAATGGGCTAAGCCTCCATAATATTACTTATTACAGATCTGGTTAAATGTGATATGTTCCAAAGATATGGATAAGCTTCTAGGGCACGATTGACACATGGGTAGTGTACTGCAAAACCCAATATTGTAATTGTCTAAGTAGCGTGCAGAGCCGAACAGGTAGGTACAACCGAGATTACCAATGAGAGGTAGTAACCGTCTCTCGCCTAACTCATAGTGAGATTAAGCTTCTGACTAGTGACAGTCCATTGTTGGCCTTAGATCTTACGCGGCGGGGGTCCTTTCACAATAAGTACGTATTGCCAACTTTGCTGTCAAGATCCCACTCAAAGTCAAAGCCGTGCCATCATAGCAGCTGCGAAATACAATTTGATCGCTGCACAGCTGCCAAAACTCAACTCAAGTAGCAGTTCAGTGCTGAGCGCCCCTTGAGGCTGAACGCGCATTACTACTACCCCGCACAAGGATGTCGCTCCGCACCACTCCAGAGACCCGCTTTGATAGCTTAAACGTCTACACTACTTCGTACAAGAAGATCGGCGACCATGAAATCGAAGTCAATATCCTTGTTCCCAAAGGAATCTCGCCTGGAAAGCATCCGTTGATGGTCAAATGGCACGGTGGAGGTCTAGTAAGTAACCCGACGAGATGACCGTCTTACCAACTACTCACCATGTGTCTTTAGACAACAGGAACAGCACTGTACCCCCAATGGTTCTCTGCTTATATGATCCCGCTCATTATACGCAACAAAGCGATCGCCGTCGTTCCAAACTACCGGCTGACGCCAGATCACACTGGCGATGAGATCCTCGAAGACATTGCGTCCCTGGGAGACTGGCTTACGTCTTCGTTGCCCACGTACCTTGCATCCAAGGACTCTTCCATCGAGCCCGACTTTTCTCGGATCCTAGTAACAGGCGATTCTGCCGGTGGCTGGATGGCGCTCCAATCAGTCCTTTCTCTACCAGAGAAGACATTCCGCGCTTGTTTCATCCAGTATCCCGTGGTGAATGCCATTCCTTATTCGCCGAACGATACTATCTTAGGTGGCCCTTTTCCACCAAAAAAGAACCTGGACGACTTCCTGGCAACCATGAAACCGGGTACCGTCGTCAGTGCAGCTATTCCACCTAATCGCAGCCTACTCATGCCCCTACTGCTGGGATACGGGCGCTGGGATGAGTTCTTTGGTACTGGACCACACCTCATGCCGGACACGCGCATCGAGACTGCAAAGTCTTTTGTCCCGACATATATTGTGCATGGCAAGGATGACAGTATTGTGCCCATCAAGTGGACGGAGAAGTTTGTAGAGAGAGCGAGGGAGTTGTTCCCAGATACGAGATTTGACTTGGTCACGCGGCCTGGTGAACATGGTTTTGATGATTCAATCTACGAAGAGGATGAGCCGTGGCTTGCGGAAATGATCAAGAACGTTGAGAAGGACTGGCTGGAGTGATGTGATAGCTATATTTACATCGTATTATGGATAGAAGGAGCCATAGCTACTGTTTCAGTCAATATATCGCAGTCAATGGAATAAGGGATACTACTACTTTCACACAAGTCAATTCGTGTCGACGACATTGGCGATGAGAGAGAATACCCATCAAGCTTAGATATATTGTTTCTCTCTAAATAAGATTCTACTTCCGCCAGCCTTGAACAAAGTCATGGGCCCAATCGATTACTCCGGCCTTCCAATCACCCAGTGACTCTTCAATCAATCTTTCCCATCTCATCGCAGCCTCATCCTCTCCCTGTATTCCATCCGTACCTCTCTCAAGACCCAAGCGCTCTTGCACCTTCTTAACACTGCCTTCTCTCTCCACCTTGATATCGGGAATGTTGGCGCCTTGCATAAGTGCAAAGAGATTGAGAATCAGATTCGAAGATTTGCGCAAAGTAGACCACGCAGTGTACGAATATTGCTTGAAAGCAGAGTAGTTCGGATGCTGGACTCCACCCATTCCTTCAATCATTTCATGAGAGAGCTTCATGGCTGGGGCAAATGGCTTGGGATCGCGACCTAGAATGTAACCAAAGTCGACATGGAAAAAGGCGCCCGAAGGAGCGAGCAGCAGGTTGTCTAGATGGCGATCGCCAACCCCAAGAATATAGGTGATTACGCAGTACCCGGCACAGGATTTGATATATGTATCCATTGCTTCTTTTCTTACGCCCAACGGAGCATTGTCATCAGGGTTGTTGGCGCGCAGGTAGGCGAGGAGACTGCCTCTGTACTTTTGCCATGCCGCAGCGATCGACATGCTTGGCACAAACTGGAATGCTCCAGCTGACGACGAAGTCGCAAGGATGCGATACGGAGTGAGTTTCAGGTCGAGGTTTTCCTTGCGGAGCAATCGATCCATGAGAGTGATGATTTGGATGACCAGTTGATCTTGTCGGAGGTCGTCACCAGTTTTGAAGATGATGGGGTAGGGTGTGCCGGTCGTAGTCTTGAATGATAGCACCATGGGAAGTAATGACGACTTTAGGACATTGCAATCCTCGGTTGATATTCCGGTGATGAGGATTGACGGATCAAGAGGGAGAGGTAACGGGTCAAAACTTGTAAGCTCGTTTTTGGGGTCTGCGATTGCTTTCTTGAGACGCGCAATCTTCGTAGGCCGATCACCACCACCAAAGCGCACATCTTTTGATATTTTGGCCAGGATGGTGAGTAGCTCACCTTGGCGTTGGAAGGTCTTGCGTATACTGATGCCTTCTGGTGTTTTTTCAAGCTCAACCATAAAGTCATACTCGACTTTTGCGAATAGATCACGGTGTTCAGGTGCTTGATCAGCACTAAGGTCGCTAATCTCAACCATGAGATACCAATGCAAGAAATTGCCCAAAGTGAAGCTGTTAGCAGCACGAGTAACGAGGAAACGTGCAAGTGACGAATCGTCTGCCTCGCCTGGTGCCTCGTACTTGAGCGCTTGTACCAACTGTAAGAGATACAACTGGAGTTCTTCATCGTCGGCTTTCTTCAAACGTTCGACGGCATAGCTTCGAACAATGGGGTGGTCGAAGTGAGGTCCGAGTAATTCAAGAGCGTCATCAACGTCAATCTCAGCCCACTTTTCTAGCAGTGGTGCCGCTTGCCGAACTTCTCGTGGATTTTTCCAATTGATGCATTTGACAAATTTTGTCAAGGCACGCTTGTCGCGGAGTAAGAAATACCTGAATCTCCAGATATCGTCTCGCTCGTGCGACGTGATTTCATCCAGGGGACCCTTGGACAAGACCATGTTCAGTTTATCACGGGCGTGCACGTTTGGTTTTCGATCGCGGTCCAGCGAATCGGTCTGCTGGCTACGCATCAACTCACGGTGTTTGTCTTCGGCGGGATTGACTCTTCGCCCAACCTCGGGGTCATAAATCTTGATAAGCCGCTCTGCGTCCGCATCGCCGTAGCCTACCCCATCAATATCGATACCGGGTCCAAAGGCGACTTCTGGCGGTGGGCGCAGCCTTACGTCGGCTTCGGCTGGCAATCGTAAGTCGGAGACAGGAGGTGGCGGGTATTCAACGTCGGTGAAGACAATGGCGTGGTCAAAGCGGGGAAATTCAATATCGAGATAGAAGAGTTCATGTTCTTCGGCCTGTGCAGCGATGTCGCTAGTGCCATTCACCTTGCTTTGTCGGCTGAGAGCTGCGGCCTCGACCGTCAGGGCGTCCTTTCGTATTTGCATCATCTTCTTATAGACCAATCCGTCAAGCCAGTTGTTTGTCGGAAGGTCTCCCATTTCCTGCTTCTTGAGCAACCCTTCCAACCTGTCCATCTCGGCAACTTGCTCATCGACTGTGTCCTCAACTACCTCAGCATTCCTCGGTTTCCGCGCGGGTTGTATTACCCAGGGTGTTGAGGTGTTGGTCAGGCCATCGGCTGCCTTGTAGCGGTGTATACGACAGCGTTGCCTGCCCTTATGTAGCGTGTTGTCGCTGTCGAACAGCGGTATCGTCGTGCCACCGAATGGGACGGCATGGAGGTTAGACTGTTTGTCTTCGGCGGGGGATAGATCCCATAGGGTGATGGCTAGCTGGGCAGATGCCGGGAGGCTTGCGTAGGTAACGGGCAGTTGTAGCCACTCATTCCATATGCGCGCATTCTTGAATGACTTGTAGGCGGTCTGGACGGGGACAGTAAGGGGCTTGCTATCGGCCCACACCTGTGCAGTGACATATAGCTCGAAATGCGGGCTGTAGGCATACTGTTAACCCTATGTCCCTATCGGAGCACTGGGCAAGGGCCGACTCACTTGATTATGGAAGCGCGATGCCTAAGGTCGGGTCGCTTCAACAGCACCGAGTAAGGAACCGGCTTCTGGTTCCCATCCAGACGATCACTGCATACACCTTCAGCACGCAGGAAACAGGTACTTCAAGACGGCCGGATTCCTACATTCGCACATGGACAGATAGCTCGGTCAAGTCAAGAGACGTCGCGAAGTTGAAGGCCTCCATGGTGGGCGGTGACGAAGCTGCTTGCTACAGCATGCCATGGAGAGAAAGCACGGGCTAGATGCAGGCAAAGAAGGATGGAGCGTGTCGTTTGTATTAGGGACACATGACGAGGCGAGAAGGTGTGAGTGGTGCGAACAGTAGTTCATGCGCACATGGTCGTGGCCCAGTGGGGACAGGCATGAGCATCAGCAAGCATGTGGCTGGTGGTGAGCTTGGTGTGGCTTGAGCACTACCAGCCACGGGGGTGGGGGTGTTTCTATGGCGGTGCATGCAGGCTTGGCTGACGAATGCAGATGCGCTTAGGTCAGACAAAAGTCGCGCTAGGCTTGTGGGCCTCAACCGCGTCAGGAACAGGCACAGGCGCAAGAGCAGCATAGGGCTGATAATCACCATCTCCGCCTCAACACTACGCCCGTACCCCGCGATAGCCGTGTCGCCCCCTCGCCGTCTCCGGATTGCGCTGTCTGTTTTCCCTGTTCGTCCGCTGGAGCCCGCTGCAATGGCGCGCCTCAATACCCATCTTTCTGCTACGCCACAAACACGCGCCTCTACCGTTGACTCCCTCTACCGCGACCCCTCCGTAGTGCCCCGAGCAGAGCAAAATGGACGCACATCTTCCTACTCAGTGATCAGTCCGACCCGGTCCATGAACTCAGACAAGGAGAACGAATCACCTGCAACTCGCGATAATACCCCGCTGCGCGGCAAATCAAGGGGCCTGAGGGTCGCGTCAGCGCGTATGCCTACACCGGATTCAGGCTCGACAGAAGGCAATGGCAGCAAGAGAAGGCGCACAGACAACTACACCATGTCCCGTTCACAAATATATGACGACGAGCAGGATGCGGACCAGGATGACGAAGAGGACAGCATCGACACGCCTTCACAGTCTCATCTTCAGCCTGAGCAAGAGGAAGAGGGCCATCTCAGGTTCTACAACCCTAACCAGGATCCTGAGAAGCGAAGGCGGCTGCGTGCGACAATGCGCGATCATCAGCGCATGCTGGATGGTGGGTTCAGCACCGCCTTAGCAGCTGTGTAAACTCAACTGACCAAGACAGACAATCGCGATGACCTCATCAAGGCGCACGATAGTGGCCTGCTTGATGCCCTCAGAACGCAAAATAGCCTTTTTGGCAAAGTGCGCCAAACAGCTGACGCTACTGTAGACTCCCGTTTCTTGGTTAACGCCAGTGACTTGGCAGGCAAAAAGCTCAACAACGCCTTGGGCAATTACAGTGCAGGCATCGATCTAGACCAGTTCGTTTCCAAATGTATATACTTCATGAAATCAGGGGGCTACGTGGCGGGAGACGAGGACGCACCAGCCATGCCAGTGGGTGATGACGATGATGATGACCCAGATGGTCTTGATTGGGCAATGTTAGGCCGAAGGGCATGTTTTCCCTGCAACAAGCGGCCACCTACTGCCAGTTTTCTTCTTGGCCCATTATCAGTACAGAAGCGCATTCGATCAGCAACACAGCGGAGAGCTCGGTCCCAACGACAACCAGTCGGCCCTGCAACCCGGCCACAGGAGATCAAGGAAGGCGACATCCAGCAGAACGAAAATAACAACCTCTCCAATCTTGTCAAGGGCATCCGAAAACGACTAATCGATCATACCAAGCAAGGTGCAGACCGTGTGGAAAGCGAGCTCAGCGAGATACCGGAGAGTGAGATGGACGATGAATCGCAAAACGCCGCTTTCCGCCGATACAGAATGGCCATGACTACAGATGGAGAGCCTGCTGTTGATTTACTCGATTTCGCCATCAATCCGCACGACTTCGGCCAGACGGTAGAAAACTTGTTTTATATCAGTTTCTTGGTGAGAGAAGGCAATGCCAAGATCGTCAAGGATGACGATGGCCTTCCGTTACTGGGTAAGAGCAACCGTGTTCGTATTCCCTTCATCTACTTACCTGTGACTAGTACCAGCAGCTCCTCGCGGCGTCTCGGAGCAACGAGAAGACAATGTCCAAAAACATCAAGCCGTCTTCAGCCTCGACTATCCCACTTGGCGAATGTTCATTGATGCTTACGATATTAAAGAGCCTCTCATACCGCATCGTGAAAATGAAGAGGCAAATGTCGGGTCGAATGGCTGGTACAATGGATAAATGTCGCTTTGGTACCGCACATTGAGATGTTGTTTCTTACTCTTGGGTGCATTTTCAGCCGCATAAAGCTCTTGCGCGTTGCGACATGACCTGGCATCTATCCATGCCATCAGCCGTCCTTACGGTTTTACCTTCTTCCACACTCTCGTATCTCCCAACGGCCATTGTCTCGCTCCGCATAAATCATGGATTTGATTCCGGGCCAGTGCAGCGCTCGGCCGCGTGACCTTTTTTTTTACCCATGCCCAGCCAACGTTGTCTTCGACGTTATCATCTGTTCTTAGTACTAGTACGCGATACCCCATGTCTTGCTTTCAAATATGTCAATTAGCTTGGAGAAGATGTCCGTGTCTTCATCTCATCTGTCCTACGTGGTCACTACATCTTCCTTTCTTGCCGCTCGCAATAAAACTTCATCCGGTGAGTTCCTATCGTGAGGGCTTGAGCCTGGTTGAGCCTGGTTTAGCAACAACCGCGCACTGACCAAGGCTACCAAATCGTCATCCCAACCTCTCCCCTTGTCTCACGTAATACTCCCCCTTGAGATTGGACCGCACGTAGGGCTAGGTCAAATTCAACAACCGCTCGTGAGTCTGCCTCGTCCATACCAAAGCTCTGGCCAGTACGCTTCGCACGCATTGATTACAGCCGTCGCGTTCAGATGTCCAAGCTGATGTCTCTCATCGACGATTCACTCAGCCCCGGATCGCCTAGTATCCGCTCCTACGCTACAAGGTGTGTAGCCTTATCCAACGGGATCAGCTGACAGCCTTCTATTGCTATCATCCTACAGGGATGGACAACTGTTGTCACATCTCCTGCTTCGAAGGTCGCAATTCATCAAAGCGTGCAATGCTCGCCCTGGAATTTAGACTTTGAGAGATCTAAGCATATCAGGCTCATCTCTAGGGAGAAATAGTATTGCAAAGTATCTGTTTGCAAGACTAGCAGATTGTGGACCGTCGTTGACGCCCTTCACCTGTGTAGTGGTGCGCAACCTTGTGCGAAAATGGCGTACTTGTATTCCACCCCAAGCCCATCTCGTATCCACTGCTCCACCCCCAGATCCCCCTCATCATCCCCCACTCAGCAACCGCTAGATCCTGGAGGATGATCGACGAGACGTGACGAATTCGGCAAGTCATCAACACTCTCTTTCCCAAATAAGTTTTCCCTTTGGTGTAGTAAACCAACTAATGAAATTTTGATATTTTTACAACTCGATGCACCCAAAGATCCGTGCGGCTGCTTACGCCAACTTTTCTTTATTTCACCCACCTTCCTCTTCCATGCAAAACTATTTTTGGGTAATGAGGACGCGCGCCGTGGTACGACCTTCTTGCAGTACGCGTCGTCACGTTGGGTGCTGTGGTAGGCTGGTATATGGTTTGGATGACAAGGCTTTCCAGAAGGGTGGGGAAGAGTTAGATTTGCCATGAGGTTTTTCTTTACAACGTGTTACTGGGATGGTGCGTTGGTGTGTTGACTAGTTTTCGCTCCGTCTCTTTCTTCCGAGTTCCTTCTCATGGAAGCTGTTTCAAGTCCAAAAACAATGAGTCAGGTATAGTGGAACTTGCTGCTTTGCTTTCGTCTTCCTTCAAGGTGCTTGTGCGTTCTTCTACTTTTGAGTTACTCGCTTGAGGTATGTATGCCGAGGCTTCGTCGGCTATGAGAGTGTAATCTGGGAAACTCTACAAGATTTGAAGCAACGTCATTGGCCCTGAATACGGTTTTAGTTCGTGCTCGCGTTGCATATCATGTTGCAACAGGTCAGAAAAGGGGGTGTTTCTCTAGCTTCATTGTGCAGTGCCTGAGGTCCGACAGGTGAAATGAGGGGTTCAGTTTGACTTTCGGATATAAGGCTGGGGAACTCGGTCAGAGTACGTGGTGGTATGGTTGTAAGAAGTCTTGGGAATCTTTCGAGGCCCGATTGTAGAGGTCGACAGGGATATTCTGGCCTCCGTAGCAACCCTACAAGGGCCGAATAGGCCAGTGAAAGCATGCTCATTCTGATGCCTGGAGGTCCGGGGACGTGTCCGAACAACTGTCCCGTTATCGCCGAGAGAGTGTAGCACGTGATGTGCCGTGCCTAGATGCCGCCAAGTTGCCTGTTCGCCGAGTCTCCTGCTCGCCGAGTAGTGCTTGAGGAGGATCTCCGAAACTAGTCTTGAAGTTGTGCTCCATGCATGCAGGTACGTGCATCCGGATAGGGCGGAAATCAACCTTTTCTGCCTCGGTAGAGAAATGACGACGAACAACAAGTAAAGTAAGTTTTAACTCATACAATCGAAGAAACCGCATATACTATCTACTTCGCCGTCCTGGTTTCACAACAGTTGTCACTCTGCATCATTTGTTGCATGGATATGGCGGACATATTGCGGGCATCGGGAGAAACGAGGAGCATCCGGTTACAGATTAGAGAGATCTTGCCACATTCCTACCGGATGTATACGCAGTAGTGCGTATGTGCCTATTACAAACCTGATATGCGCAGGCATTGTCCAGAACATCATGTTCGCGCCACTGAGTCGTGTTGTGACAGTACTAGTATGGATTTGCGCAAGCTTGGAAACATCCCGCTAAATGCTATTCTTTTTCTCCACCAAGCCAAGCTATTGTCACGGGCAAAATCAAGTATTAGCACCCGTAAAGGGGTTGTGAGTTTCAAATGCTTAGTTGGCAATCGGCTGCTTGGAAGTCAGATCAGTGCTGATCAATCTTAGCCCTACTTACTATTGCTTTACGCCCGTAAATCTCGCCGCAATTTTGTCAGCACAACGACCGGGCCGCTCGACAGAAGATCGCTTACAAGCGAGCTTGAAATCTGCTGCTGACGATGTCGTCTATTGCTAGAAGAAACAATTGTGATTGTTAATTGGCCAAGAAGCTGACATAAGTATGTGTTCCTAAATCAGAATAAGTAACAATTGTCACAGTTCCTGACCACGACACTTGAATGTCACTACACAGTGGGCGTATATGCATTAAATGATTTCAGACAATGCTAAAGAGGACATAGCGTGCAAAGCTCGGCCCACGTCGTTTGGGAATAGGCGCTTGAGGCCAACTTCGTATACATAAGCCCAAGTTGAGTGGGGATAGGGCTCGAGGGGTCTGCCCGTTTGCCAAGGTGTTGGATGTTTGATGGTTAGAAATCATTCATGATTGCAAAAAGCACTGGTGCTTTGGCAGTGTAACAAAGTTTCCCATTGTGATGCTACACGCTTACCTACCGTCGGGCTCCGTCAGTGTCATTGCGAGCGCTAGTGTCACTGGCCATGAAGCCTGGGCCGCTGTCATTTCTCAGCACCAATTCGCAATTCAAGTATCTTCCTGAGTCTAGGCAACGACAGTAGGAAGCTTAAGGAACGTCCAAGGCGACGAGGGTTTCAACAGTGATGATCGTGGCGTGAGGGACAAAGGTGCTGCTGGCTGCAGTTTATTTGCCCTATACTATAACCAAGTACTATGCAGTGGCTCTGTATGAAACAAAGATACCTCTCTCTGCGTGACAGCAGTTGAACCCATGAGGGGCACGAAACGCCACGCCGTCTGAGCCCCAGGGCCTTATTCGCAGACGTTGCCCCGAGATGACTGAGTCAGTTGGCCAACTACGAATGAGGGCTGGCGGTTGTTCTCCCGCACATGGGCTGTAGGGCTCAGTGCGCGGGCCAACCGTCACTAGCGCCCGTCGTTGTCAAGTTAGTGTGTTTAGGAATTTGATATACGCCGGCTTACTTCCGTTCTCCTTCTACAAAGACATGTTCGCTCCTAATGGGGTGCCGGTGATCAGTACCTGTTCAGTAAACTACGGCTCAGAAATCCAATCATTTGGTCCTGCCAATTCTCCGATCCATCCACTTCTGGGTGCAATTGCGAATTCAGACTCCGCTTGGCGGGCGCAAGTTGGCTCTCTTGCCCCTTCTGCCCGGGCACCTGAACCCCTCCCGCTCTATGCTATGTGTTTAGGAGCATCCAATCCGACTTTTTAAACTTTGCATACTTACGTATTGGCGTCAAGAGGCATGATCGATCGGCGGCTGGCGGAAGAGCCCGCATACACGTGAGCCGTCAGACATGAACTTCCCGTTGGCTATAAGGTAGCGGTGGCGTTCACCTTCATGGTTTTCGTTCCCCAGTGTTTCCCGCATTCCTTGTCGCGACTCTCCTATGGTTCACTCTCGGCTTGTCTCGTATTACTGGACCGTTTCCTTGGTCATTCCTTAAAAATGGAGATAATGCTCTCTCCTACCGGCACCTACTCCAGCACGGCTGTGCCACTGGAAGATCCACACCCCGAGGTTGAGCTGGCTCCCCCACACCAGTTTGAGCCAATCGTTATACCTCGTCAAATGTCTCCTTTGTCCTCTCCTCCTACTCCAGAAATCACCCGGTTACCCTCCGTCCGTTCCAAACTTGGTCACAGAGCCAGAGCAGATAGCGTTGCGACTGATGCTTGTGCCAAACGCGAATCCTATAACCTGACTGGCACGACATTTCTCATCACCAATGATGGAAGGACTTTGAAGCTACCAGTTGCTTCAGAAAGCAATGCTGACCCTCTCAACTGGAGCGACCTAAAGACTGCCGGGGCTTTTTTTGCCATCGTTTTTTACTCCGCTGTCTGTTTGACCGCTGCCCAGGCGCCAGCTGTGATGTTGGACAGTATCCAGAACACTTTCAAACATGAGGTTAGGAGGATCGGTCTGTCTCACATGAATACTTTACTAACAAATTTCGCAGAACATAGCGCCATGGCTGATCAAAGCCCTCGTTACCGGCCCTCCTCTTTTCATGGGTATTGGATGTTTTGTTTGGGTGCCACTCTCCATCGGCTTAGGCCGTCGACCAACAGTCTTGATCGCCACCATGATTGTGCTGATTGCTACACTCGGGGCATCTCAGGCACGATCTTTCGCTCAACTAGTCGTTGCCTCTTGTTTTATCGGTCTTAGTGAAGGAGTGGGTCTTTGTCTGGTCAGTGATTCATCTCAACG